ATGTATTTTATTGTAACACTATCTTTTGAGTTGTAAGTTGGGAACCTTACACGTATAAATGTGTTTGGCACTGTTCATGTGAGGCTTTGATATTCCGTTTTCATTTCATGGTTTTGTTTCGCTTGAGCGCGCTATTACCTTCCGGAACGTTTTAGATTGTACATAATCGAGCTAGTAGTCCTGGCGAGAGTTGGGCAGGCAGTCCGCTAACCCCTTTGGTACGCCTTAGGGGATGGTGGGGCTGTCACAGGTGGTATCAGAGCCTATGTTAGAAATGACTTAGGCAAGTTTGAATTTGGTCCCTTAGGGCCTGTGAGAGAAGTGTAAGGTACCGTTAAGTGTGATTATGCTTACTTTGTCTAAGGTATGAAACTTTTTGCTATCTTTGTAGGATTATGGCTGGTACGAGTGGCGAGGGTGGAGGTGTGCCACCACGGAGACGCCCACGCGTCATTGACTACCAGGAGAGGCCGGGAGGTCCGATCCGGCTGTGGTATACTGCTAGTCGGACCCGTCGTTGTAGGCGATGTCAGAACCATTCCTACGCCGATCATGTGGTTGTGGCAGTACTTGACGAACGAAGGCGACTTAGGCGTGCCGCCGCTAGGGATCATACGGAACTGCTTAGGCTGCGAGGAATCATGCGGATGCAAGCAGACCGGATAGGGGAGCTCCGAGAGGATATAGCTATGGAGCAAGAACGCACTAATGCGCTTAGGGAGCAGTTGCAAGGGGTTAACCATCGTCTTACCAATGTCGTCCGGGAGGTTAGAGACCGTTCCGGCGGCATTATTAACGAGTTTGAGGCGCTGATCCAGGGTGTGATTGGCGCCAATGCGCAGGCGGAGGCTCCTAGTGATGGAACCTCTGACGAGGGGAGCACCCCTAGTTCTAGCCACGGGAGAGAGTCGGTGGCCTCGGTAGGGAGTTAGGCTGGACATTTTGAACCACTTTTGTTGCTATGGGAACCGTAGATCAGGGAAGAACCCTTAGCTAGCCGTTTTTGTACGTTTGGACTAGCATTGTATATATAACTTTTGGATGATGCAGTTCCCTCATGGACTTCCTTTGTATTGTACTTGACTGACTGTTACTATGTGACTTGTTTGCCACTGTTGTGTATATGTGTATATGTTTTGGTTGTGTATATCTTTTGGTTCCTTATTTCCGTTTACTATTATCTTTAAGGTTATATTATATTCATGATCTACCCTAGATCGACTCGACTCTACAGAAGGCACTCGTAGTGGGCGAGGCCGTGGACGCAGGAGTAGGCAACCCACGTCTGAAAGGGGCACTGGGGAAACCTCGTCTGGACCAAACCCTGAATCTAGGGTTGACCCTAATGTCCAAATAGCTGCTGCCATGCAGCAAATGACTAATTTATTGGCCCAAGTGGTGCAGCAACAGGGTCAAAACTCTAATCCTAACCCGGGAAACCCTGGCAACCATGTGAAGAGCGAGGACAGGGCTCTCAAGAGATTTCAGAAGTTTGCCCCACCAAAGTTTATCGGGGGGCCCGATCCGGACGTGGCTGAAAGGTGGCTAGAAAAGATGATGGACATCTTTGCCGCCTTACATTATACGGAAGAGAGGCAGGTGACTTTCGCCGTCTTTCAACTAGAAGGGGCGGCCCGTTCCTGGTGGAACGTCATACGACAAAAGTGGGAACGGTAACAAATGCCCAGGACCTGGGTGAACTTTATGAGGGAGTTCAATGCCAAATTCTTCTCTCCTCTGGTTCAGGAGCGGAAAGAAGATGAATTTATCAAACTTCGCCAAGGGACCCAGACTGTGGCCGAGTGTGAAAGCCCCATCTTCCCCTAAGGCGAACCAAAGGGGTTAGCGGACTGCCTGCCCAGCTCTCGCCAGGACTAACGGTTCAGTTCAGAGCGATTTGATACGTTTCGGAACATACAAACGCGCGTAAACAAGTCAAAATCCCAAAATAAAAAAAAAATGAAATTGGAGCCGGTCATGAATAGTAACCGACCCGTCAGAATCCAACCAAATATCAAGCAAACATTCACATCTTGAAATTTAGCATTTACAATCCAAAGTGGCATACAAAAGTATTCAAAAGTGGATACATGTATGGTTTGCCAAATCAAAAGAGAAACGGACCCAAAAGTACATTTAGGGTTTCAATCTAAGAGTTATACAAAAGATATGTCCATCTAGCTCAATTCGGCAACCAACTATCAATTGCAGTCCAAAAGTATTTATTTTCCTGTAAGGAAAACAAAAGGAATAGGGTGAGCTTACGCCCAGTGAGATAATACCACTCAAGCAGCAAAGTTCACATAAGCATAAAGCTTTTCATTCCAATTCATCAAAAGTAAGCAAAGGCACACATCAAAAGTGGTGATAAAAGGATACGGGCGGCTCTCAAGAGCCATTTTCCTCGTTTGCATTCTTGATCGAACCTCATTGACTCTCCGTCAATGTTTCAAAGTAACCAACCGTAGACTCCACTTTACTTCCATTCCTTCCACCCAACATACCCCTACCGGGCCCGAACTCCAAACACTTGTAATGTGGTATTACTCGAGTATACCGGAATCGAGAGTCTCTCATACTACAAGATTCCATATAACAGTCCCCAAGGTTCATTAATTGGCACGACCAAGCCCTCGCCGGCTTGATTCAATCAACTACCAATGGGGTTGAGCTCAATGGTAACAATCATGGTCGTTGGATACTCGTCCAAACGATACCAAGTCAAGTACTTTCATTTCATGTAACATTCCATGTAACATTCCAATAACATGATAACCAATGATATAAGGCATATAAGTGAGAGTGATCAAGTACACCCTCACTTAAATCAATATCGAAGGTGCAATAAACATTCAACACATCTAGTTCAAATATCAAAGCCATAGAGTAACACACAAGTGAGTAGTACACTCACCAAGCTTGAAAATGATGTTTCATACACCTCCGTCAAAGGAGCGTCGTGAACCACCGTCACACCCTAAAACATGCAAACAAGTACAATGAGACTCGATAACGAGTTATAAACCAATGCCAAACACTACCAAAATAGGGTTCTATAAGCATACATAAGCATGAGAGGAAACCAGAAAAATCCGGAAATGGAGTTAAGTGTTAACCCAAAAAAAACAGTTTTTGACTCCATTTTACGGTTTTGATACCAATGGCACTACGATTATCGGATGGAGGTAAAAGATACACCGTTTCGAAGCTAAGAGATAGGGCTACAATGTTTCAGAAGGTCACTCAGCCCAGTTTCGAGTGTAACCAGGTAAAAAATGCAATATACTACACTAGAACCGCAAAAACAGGTTCACAAATCGCATTCTGGTGCAAACATCATAAATCAGGCTACCTAAGTCCAAATCCAGTAATTCTAAAGCCATCTGAAAGCTAAGAAACAGGGATACAATTCATCAGAAGACCTCAACAACCAATTCCGAAGCATTCCCAACCAAAATAACCCATTACAGAAGCAATTCTCAAATTCGGGTAAAACTAGGGCAGCAGGGGTAATTCTGTCTTTTCACAAGCTACGTTGCTCCGATTGATCTGAAATTTTGTAGGCATCTCTAAAATATAATTACCTACAACTTTCATGTTTTAACCCAAGGACAATTCGGCCCCTAACTATGAGCTACAGTGCCAGGCAGAATGTAAATCAAAGAAACCCTAACTTTCCAATTTTCTTTCCAAAACAGAAATTGCTTGCAATTAACCACTTTTTCCACCTTCTAACTTCCTTAAATACCATTTCCAATAATCATACATGACCACATAATCATATTCATATGAAAACAGAAAAATCACCAATAATTATAAAACTTCACCAATTCAACAAAAAAATCAAAATATAATCCATAAAATTGCATCTTATACCACCACCAATCATGAATTAAACATCATTAGAGGGAGGAGAGGGGTCCTTCACTACTCACCTTAGTAATACAAGAGAGAGAGCAATTAGACACCTTAGCTTTCCAAACAACTTCACCAATTACCTCACCAACCCTAAGTGAAGAGGTTTTATGGAACAAAAGTAAGTTTAAGTGGTTGTTTTGATGGATTTGAGCTAAATGGAAGCAAGAACTTGGAGAGTTTTCTTTCTTTCTTTCTTGAAGTTGGCCGGCCAAGGAGAAGAAGAAAATGGTGAAATTTTGGTAATTTTTTTGATTTATTTGGTCAAATGGAAAAAGGTGAATAGTGGTCATCAAGTCCAACCACTCTCTAAGTGACACTTGTCACTATAATTAATGCATCTCTATCACTTTGGTTCCTCTCTCACCAATCCAAATAGCAACCTCTAATTATCTCTTAGCACCCGATAATTTAAACCCAATATCCAAAATTTAACCTAACTGGCCGAATTTTTCCGAACTTTTCGCCCTAATGGGTCCCACGTCCGGTATACGCTCTTAATTTCTTAAAAACTATGCGATACTAGGAAAATCACGTAAAAACTATATTTACTCATAAAAATTATCTAGAAACCTTTTCAATAAAAAAAAATGCAGAAAACATGCCAGTAACCCGACTAAAACCTAGAAACTGAAAAAAAAAAAATTACGGGTTCTCACACCGAGTACGAGAGCCAATTCACTCGGCTGTCCAAATTCGTGCCCGAACTCATCGTGACCGAGCAACGAAGAATACGGCGATTCGTCCAGGGTTTGAACGTGGAGATCCAGAAGGATCTAGCCGTCGCCCAAATTAACGTATTCAGTGATGCTGTAGAGAAGGCGCAACGAATGGAAAGTGCCAGGCTCCAAGTGAGGAACTTCCAAGCTAAAAAGTGAGGATTTCCTAGTAGTAGTTCTGGACAGGGGGATAAGAGTACCCCTTCCAAGTTTGGACGGGGAGCCGGGGGTGGAAGGCAGCCGGGAGTAGCGAGAGGGGCTCAGTCCAGAGGTGGCCAAGCTGGGCGAGGCCAAAGAGGAAATTTCCAGGGGGGCTCAGCGTCAGTATCTCGCGGTCCCTGTGGGCATTGTGGGAAGTCAAACCACATGGAAGACAATTGCTGGAGGAAGGAAGGGAAATGTTTACGCTACGGGAGTGCAGACCACCAACTGGCCAATTGCTCGGTCCTCAAACAAGATGGAAGGGAGAGCCAACAACCGCCGAGAACCAATTCTGGATCAGCTAAAGGAGAAGGGACTAAACCCAAGGTGCTGGCTCGAGTGTATTTGCTAGAGCCACAGCAGGTCCCTGACTCTTCCGAGGTCGTAGAAGGTACGATCCTTGTATTTCACCGATTTGCGAAGGTCTTAGTAGATCCTGGTGCCACACATTCCTTTGTTAACCCTACTTTCATGTGTGGTATTGATATCAAGCCTGTTAGTTTACCTTATGACCTAGAAGTTAGTACCCCCACCGGGGACCATCGTTTGATCACTAGTATAGTTTATAAGGATTGCGAGGTTTGGGTAGGAGAGAGAAAATTGCTGGGGGATTTGATCAGCCTGTCAATTAAGGGGTATGATGTAATCTTGGGCATGGACTGGTTAGCCAGGTATAATGCTCAACTTGATTGTAAGAGAAAGGTAGTAGAATTCCGCATTCCTGGGGAGGCTACCATAAGATTAGATATAAGGGATAGGTTAGCCTCATCCATCTTGATCTCGGGTATTCGGGCTAGGAAATTATTAAATAGAGGGGTGCAAGGGTTTTTAGCCTTTCTAATCAATACCCCCATCGATAAACTAAAGGTAGAGGATGTGCATGTAGTGAAGGAATATCCGGATGTGTTTCCTGATGAGTTAGTAGCTCTACCTCCGGAAAGAAAGATAGAATTCAAAATCGACCTGTTACCGGGAACCTCGCCTATCTCAAAAACCCTGTATCGGATGGCCCCTGCTGAACTTAAGGAGTTGAAGTTGCAGTTACAAGACCTTTTGGAGAGGGGGTTCATTCAAGAGAGTGGGTCTCTTTGGGGAGCCCCTGTATTGTTTGTGAAGAAGAAGGACGGGAGTCTGCGAATGTGTATAGACTACCGGGGGCTGAACAATGTTACGATTAAAAATAAGTATCCACTGCCCCATATTGATGAGTTGTTCGACCAGTTGCAAGGAGCAGTGGTCTTCTCAAAATTAGATCTTCGACAGGGGTATTATCAATTGTTTATTAGGAAAGAGGATATTCCGAAAACTGCTTTCAACTCAAGATATGGGCATTATGAATTCGCAGTTATGCCCTTTAGACTAACCAATGCCCCTACCGCCTTCATGGATCTAATGCATAGGGTTTTTAAGCCCTACTTGGACCAATTTGTCGTCGTTTTCATTGATGACATCTTGGTCTACTCTAAGACTCGCGAGGAGCATGAACAGCACCTAGGAATTGTTCTGCAAACCCTAAGAGAGCATCGGTTATACGCCAAGTTCAGTAAGTGCGAGTTTTGGCTGGAGAAAATTTCTTTCTTAGGGCACGTAATTTCCCAAGAGGGCATCTCGGTTGACCCAACAAAAGTAGAGGCCGTGACTAAATGGAAGAGGCCAGAAAACCCCACAGAGATTCGTAGTTTTCTAGGATTGGCGGGGTATTACCGGCGTTTCATTGAGGACTTTTTCAAACTAACTGGTTCTTTAACCGACTTGACAAAGAAGCATGGTCGGTTTGTGTGGGATGCCAAGTGCGAAATGAGTTTTCAGGAGCTAAAGAAAAGATTAACTATGGCGCCAGTTCTAGTCTTGCCTAATGGAGTAGACGGGTTTACCGTCTATACCGACGCGTCGCGGGAAGGTCTGGGGTGTGTGCTGATGCAGAACCGGAATGTGATATCTTTTGCCTCTAGGAAATTAAAATCTCACGAGCAAAACTACCCAACCCACGATCTTGAGTTAGCCGCGGTTGTTTTCGCTCTGAAGAAGTAGAGACACTACCTATACAGGGTGACCTTCGAGGTGTACTCAGACCATAAAAGTTTTAGATACCTCTTCTCACAAAAGGAATTAAATATGAGGCAGCGACGGTGGATGGAATTTTTGGGGGATTACGACTGCACTATCAACTACCATCCGGGGAAGGCGAACGTGGTGGCTGATGCCTTAAGTCGCAAGGCCCAAGTAGCAGGGTTAATGATCAAAGAGTGGGATTTGTTAGAATCCGTTTGCGAGTGGAAACCCTACCTTGGGAGTCATAAGGTGGTTTTTGGTAATATTAAGGTAACATCCACCCTACTGGAGCGAATTAAAGAAGCACAAAAGGAGGATTCGATGGTGCGAAAGTGGGAAGAGAAGGTGGAAAAAGAGAAATCAACCATCTTCAACTTCAGTCCCGAGGGTATTCTAAAATACTGAAACTGAGTGGTAATGCCTAAAGATGAAATGTTAAAAACGGAGATTTTAGAGGAAACTCATCGGTCCAAGTATACGATCCATCCGGGTAGTAGCAAGATGTATCAAGACCTAAAAGGAGCATATTGGTGGGACAATATGAAGAAGAAAATCGCTTTGTATGTGCAGAAATGTCTTGTTTGCCAACAAGTCAAGGCGGAGCATCAAAAACCATCAGGCTTATTACAACCTCTTGAGATACCTGAGTGGAAGTGGGAAAACATCACAATGGATTTCGTTTCAGGTTTGCCGCGAACGCAACGAGGACACGATGCCGTTTGGGTGATCGTCGATCGATTAACCAAATCGGCTCATTTCTTGCTGGAGAAATTGGCTCAGGTGTACATGGACGAGATCGTAAGGCTACATGGCGTTCCTGTAAGCATCGTTTCAGACAGAGATCCCCATTTCGTATCTAGGTTTTGGCAAAAATTCCAAGAGACTCTGGGGACCAAACTCAACTTAAGCACCACCTATCACCCTCAGACGGATGGACAATCGGAGCGAACAATTCAAACTCTTAAGGACCTGTATTCTGGATTTTGGGGGTAACTGGGGTCAACACATAACCTTAGTGGAGTTTGCGTACAATAACAGCTACCATTCGTCAATTCAAATGGCTCCATACAAGGCACTATATGGGAGGAAGTGCCGGTCACCGATTTACTGGGATGAAGTCGGCGAAAGGAAAGTTCTAGATCCAACGGCTATTCCATGGATGGAGGAGGCACGAGAAATGGTCAAGTTGATACGACAAAAACTCCAAACAGCTCAAAGCCGACAAAAGAGCTACGCGGATAATCGAAGAAAAGACTTGGAGTTCGAAATTGGGGACCGTGTTTTCCTCAAGGTTACACCGTTACGGAGCATCACGGCGGGTAGAGGAAAGAAATTGCAACCGAGGTTCGTCGGACCTTTCAAGATTCTCCACAGGGTTGGTAAAGTCGCGTATCGGCTAGAACTGCCGTCGAGTCTATCTAGAATTCATGACGTCTTTCACGTCTCAATGCTCAAGAAGTACTATCCTGACCCGTCTCATATCTTACAACCAGAGGAAATCGAAATAGATGAATCGCTCACCTATGAAGAGAAACCTGTACAGTTACTTGACCGAAAAGTTAAAGAGCTGAGAAACAAACAAATTCCTTTGGTGAAGATATTGTGGAGAAACCATGGGGTAGAGGAAGCTAACTGGGAGGTGGAAGAAGAAATGCAAAAGAAATACCCTGAACTGTTCATGAATCAAGGTGAGAAATTTCGACGGCGAAATTCTTTTAAGGGGGAGAGAGTGTGAGAACCCATAATTCTCTTATTTTTCTAGGCTTTATTTTATTTAATTACATTCCTTTTATGTATTTTCTTTAGTAGAAAATTGTTTTAAATCATTTTTAGGGGTAAATATGATTTTTAAATTATTTTTTCAATATAAGTTGGTTCATGTGATTTTAGAAGTGTATGTTGGATGTGGGACCCACTAGTGCGGTAAGTTCGGTTAAATTCGGTCAATTAGGTTAAGTTGTGTATATCGGGATTAATTTACAAGGTGCTAAGAGATAATTAGGGGTTGCCTTAAGTGGATTATTGTTGGAGAGACAAAAGGATAACAATAAACAGAAAGGGGTGCTAGGTGGCACTTTTCTATTGGTCATGGACTTTGACCACTTTACTATCTTCACTAAATAAAACAAAAATTGACCCAAAATCCCTTCTTATTTCTTTCTTCTTGGCCGAGCCTCTTGGAGAGGAAAAGGAGAAAAAGCTTCCAATTTCTTCCTTCTATTTCTTGCTCAATCTCACAAACCAACCATTAGAACCTTGATTTACTCCATAAAAACCTCTCTCTTGGTAGGATTAAGGTGAGTGGTGAAGTGGTTTGAGGAGCAAAGGTGCTAAGGTGCTTCTTTTCTTGAGTTTTCAAGGTGAGTGGTTAAGGAATTTTTCCTTTGACCTTGATAATGTTCAATTAGTGATTGATAGTAGTTGAATAAGTGATTTTGTGGAGGAATTCTTGACTTTTGGTAGAGATTGGTGAATTTTATATTTATTCTTGATTTTTTATGTTTTTATATGTTTGGTATTGTGACGCCATGGATGATGGCTTGGGATAGTCTAGAATGAAGCCATAGTACGTAAATTGTAGCTAATTGCGGAAAAATTCCACTTTGTGCGGAAAATTCCAGATTAGGGTTTCAATTAACCTCATTCTGCCTGGTACTGTTTCTCCTAGTTAGAGGCCGAATTAGCCTTGAGTTAAAACATAAAAGTTGTATAGAATGATGTTTTACAGTTTCCTGCAAAATTTCAACCCAATCGGAGCAAAGTAGCCTGTGAAAAGATCGAGATACCCCTGCTGCCATGTTTCTGTCCGAAACTGATAATCCGCTTCTGTAATTGGTCAGTTTGACTGGGAATACTTCTGATTTGGTGGTTAATGTCTTCTTAAGAAATATAACCCGGTGTATTATCTTTCCAACGCCCCTGGAATCACCTCCTTTGGACATCGGTAGCCTGAGTTACGGTCATTTAACCAGAATGCGGTTAGCTAACCTGTTTGTGCGATTCTGGTTTGGTACATTGAAAGTTTGACCTAGTTACACTACAAACTGGATAGAGTGACCTTCTTCAACATTGTAGCCCTTTCTCTTAGCTTCGAAACGGTGTATTTTTTACCTCAATCTGACAAGTGTAGCTTCAGTTGTGTTAATTCCTCTAAGCAACAGCAAATCTACCTTTTTGTTTTCCAACCTAAACTTCATTTCCGCACATGCTCTAGTTGATTTTGCACTTATACGTTCTATTTGGTCTTATGATAGTAGTATGTAGAATTGGTTTATGACTCGTATTTGGGTCTCATTGTGTTTACTTGTATGGGTTAGGGCGTGCCGGTGATGCTAGGCGCTCGTTGGACCGCAATCTGTGAAATCTTTTCCTTGCTTGATTGGTGAGTGTATTACTCACATACTTGTTACTTCATTGCTTCGCTATACTTGAAATCTATGGCTTGAATGCTTGTGTGTATTGATGAGCTTGGTTGAGTTAAGGGTGTACTTTATCACTCTTACACTCAATGGCTTATGTGACTGGCTTATGTGACTGTTACTGTATCAAGTGAATGTCTTTGAATATACTTGAATTGGTGTCGTTTGGACATGTATCCAACGACTCTTACTGTTTACTCTGAGCTCAACCCTATTGGTAGTCGATTGACTCGAGCCAGCAAGGGCATGGTCGACGAGATTGATAAGCCGTAGGGACTGTTTTTATGGAATCATTGGGTATGAGACCCTTGATTCTGGTATACTCGAGTATTACCAATGTAAACTGAATGGAGTTCGGGCCCGGTTGGGGTATGTGAGGTGGATGGAAATTGGCGAAAGTGGGGTCTACAGTATTGGTTACTTCTTTAAGCGTTGACGGAGGGTCAACGGGGCGAGATCAAGTACGGCAAGCGAGGAAAAGGGCTCTTGAGAGCCGCCCGTATCCTTTTACTGAATTTAATGTCCTCAAAAGTTGAGTTTCCAGCTTTGATAGTGGAATCTGCTTTGTTCTGACCAGTGTAATTCTTCCATGTTAGAGGCCGAATCAGGCTTAGGTCAAAACATAAAATTGTATGAAATGATGTTATATAGCTGCCTGTAAAATTTCAGCTCAATCAGAGTACTGTATCATGTGAAATGACTGAAATACCCCTGATTGCCAAATGTTCTTTTCAGCAGGCAGTTTTGAGATTTCACAGGTTTGGTTTCATTTTTCACTTTGATCCGTATCAAATCAGCATTTGGCCAAAACATGAAAGTTTTAACCCTATGTTTCAGCTTTCGAACGCATCTGAAAATGCCTCAATCGGAATTTTTTATTGCCATTT